GGCAGCTGCAGCTCTTGCACTTCTGGCTCTTCCTGGCCATCTACCTGGCTGCCCTCCTGGGCAACGGCCTCATCATTACCACCATCACCTGGCACCACCAACTCCACACCCCCATGTACTTCTTCCTCCTCAACCTCTCTGTTCTTGACCTGGGCTTCATCTCCACCATTGTCCCCAAAGCCATGGCCAATTCCCTCTTGGACAATAGGAGCATCTCCTATGCAGGATGTGTTACCCAGCTATTTTTCTTTGTTTTCCTGATATCAGCAGAGTATTTTCTTCTCACTGTCATGGCCTACGACCGCTACGTGGCTATCTGTCAACCCCTGCACTACAGGACCCTCCTGGACACCAGAGCTTGTGCCCACATGGCAGCAGCTGCCTGGGCCACTGCATTTCTCTATGCTCTCCTGCACACGGCCAATACATTTTCACTACCCCTCTGCCAGGGCAATGCTGTGGGACAGTTCTTCTGTGAAATCCCACACATCCTCAAGCTCTCCTGCTCACACTCAGACTACCTCAGGGAAATTGGGCTTCTTGTGGTTAGTTGCTGTTTAGGCTTTGGGTGTTTTGTTTTCATGCTGGGGTCTTATATTGGGATCTTCAGGGCTGTGCTGAGGATCCCCTTAGAGCAGGGACGGCACAAAGCTTTCTCCACGTGCCTCCCTCATGTGGCTGTGGTCTCCCTGTTTGTCAGCACTGCCATGTTTGCTTACCTGAAGACCCCCTCAATCTCAACCCCAACCCTGGACCTGGTGGTGTCAGTTCTGTACTCGGTGGTGCCTCCAGCAGTGAACCCCCTCATCTACAGCCTGAGAAACCAGGAACTGAAGGATGCTCTCAGGAAATTAATGAATTTATATTATTCTGAAACAATAAAATACTTATTTTGTTCCACACAGAATTTATAGACTAATTGATTGTATCCTCAGCTTGTCTACTCTTATTTGTGTTGTGGATTATATTTTCTTAGCTTTAATAACATTTTCATGACCTTTCTGATTCAGTGTCTCCTTATTTTTTCTACCTGCTCCTTTTTGCTTAGGGGAAGGGGAAGAGAGTCCCAGCACAGCAGCACGGCCAGGGAGCGCCAGTGCTTGGTGTCTCCAGAGCTGCTCTCTCCACTCCCACCCTCTCCTCCTGAGCCCCTGCGCTGGGGTAAGGCCTCAGGGCTCTGGCAGCTTGGTCCCCATCCTGTGGTGTGGCCGTGATGTTACCACAGGCAGGGACAGCCCATGGACACCTCTGGCACAGAGTTGTCATCTCTAAGAGCATTTCCATCAGGAAAGGCAATCTTCTCAGTGTAGTGCATGAAGATGTAGGCACCTGATAGCAGCTGCACCAGAGCAGTTGTGAGTGAACAGCTCTCCTGGATGGGGTTGAATAGAATCAGTGTCCAGTGGCTTTTACTTTCCAGCTCAGTCTCTCCTAAGAGGAGGCCCTTTCTGAAGGGAACAGAGTGTCTGTGCAGACGGTGCCTGCTGCTGGAGGGGAGGACGCTGGTGGGGGCAGT